AAGAATGTCACGCAATACATGTAGATCAATTTGTAGATCACTTCTGCTAATCATTTGGTTGATCCATTCTGCAAATCATTTTGTAAATCAGTTTTGCAGATCTCTTTGTAGATCCGTTTACACTATGTTCGTAACTTTATTTTAATAGCAAACCTCCCATATACAGAAATTATTCCGATTTTATTGGAAATTTTCCGATTACATTGTGAATGATATTTTAGTCAAAATTTAAAAATTTAATATAGTAGTAAATTTTTTGGAAATATTCTGAATACATTTGAAAATTACCCGATTTTATACTAAGATTGAAAGTGTTCTGATTATGCTTTAAAAAAACAATTTGATTATTCCAAATAATTTGAAAATAATCCGATTTTATGTTCAGATTGAAATGCTCCAATTGTACTCTAAAAATTTATAATTTTAATTTTTAAATAATCCGATTTTTACCCAATAATTACCTTAATGTAACACAATTTTCTCTATCAATTATAATATGTTTATTTATTGAAAATTTATAATTTTATTTGAAATAATCTGACCTTTACCTAATAATTATTTAAATGTAACCCGATTTTCTCTATCAATTATAATATGCTTATTTATTGCTACTTCAAGAAATCCTACACTACGATTAATAGCAGTTACATTAATAATACTTATTTCACCAAAGTAACGAAAAAATAATATATGATTGCCTAATTTTTCAGGGATTCTTACCCACTGTATAAAGGCAAGCATTGATAACTCATTATTATACTCATGTACAAATAGTATAAAATTTGACCATAAAACTCATGCTCTTCAAAATCAACAGGTGCTCTTGATAAATGTGCATTTTTATCAACTAGAAGCTTTGTCTATATAATAATATTAAGATATTTATTAGTTAAATGTTTTTGAAAATGATATTATTTAAAAATTTTTCTTACAGCAATTGAATAGTTATTTCGAGCTACATCTCCTCCGCGATTAGCAAGTTTTGATCCAATTAACACACTAGATTTAGTTCGCAATTTTCCATATTTTTGAATATATTCAGTAATTAACTAAACAAAATTAATAATATTATTATCTAATTATATAAATATGAGCGTCAGGAATTTTTTTGGGCGTAACCCTCTGATGGGGGTCATAAGATCGTAACTTTGCGACCCTGCCATAGGGTTACGCCCAAAAAAATTTCCTGATGAAATACTTATACCTACATCATTCATTGTCAAATCTAATGCAGTTGCATAGTATTGCTTAACCTTTCGAACCTCCGCTTTTATCATATTGTACTCTTGAAATGGTGAATGTAATTCTTCTTCAGTTGCTGAAAAACTAAAAGCACGTTCTAGTGGTAAAATGCGAGGTTCTTTTTTAAAAATATCGAAAATTTGCTGATTATATTTAGTATAGTATTGCAAATGTGCAAATCGTAGTCACATAGTTATCTGATTTGTAAGATTTGCATATGGTTGCTGTTGGAAATGGACTAAAGGTATCAACATTCCACATAGTCTTTCCATGGGAAATTGCCAAGTAGCCCATGGTGGTCCTGTTTCTTCAATTGATTTCATTATATGTAAAAGATAATGAAAGCTGATAAGAGCTGCTGGAAGTCGATTTAGATCTCTTTGATAGTTCTCACTAAGTTATTTTAAATGAAATGTTAATATTTATAAAAAAAATTATAAGAAATTATATAACAAAGGACTTGCTTACTTCTCATAATAACGAATGAATCTAATAAAAAGTGTATGAATTTCTTCAAGTTCTTGTCTAGAAATAACTGGTTTAAGACATAGCTGAGTTGCCTTAACAAAACTTGTCCACCCATCTATATGTCTATAAAATTTGAAATAAATGTAATAAATATTAAAAAAAGGTAAATTAAGTTAAAAACAAAATACCTTATAGGTAAATAATCATAGAGGAGCAGAAGTGAATACAAAACTATCCAGTTATACCAATCTTCTGCTTTAAAAGCAGAATGATGTTTCTGAATATTAATAGGA